ATATATATATATGTTCTTTATCGCAATGCACGCTCCACCAACCATTCATTCTCCTCCAAGTATAACACTAATATGAAAGGAGCCTCTAGTTCCGGTATGTTACTTTGTACGCATACGAAACACTGCTGCAATACTAATCGCTTTTCAACAGGTGAGTAAAATGCGGTAGATCCTTTGCAAGAGCAAAGCACCCAATCTGTTGACTCTCGTACTGCCGTTTCCTCCATACAAGGCATTGACTCTATAAATTCTAGTGTAACCTTAAAGACGCAATCGTTACTAAAATTAATTTGATCCATTGATTTATTACGCACCAACCGGGTATCCTCAAGGAAATCAAGTGAATCTACTGGCACTCGCACAGCACCCATCTCTTTACTTGTGTAGATGAGCATATTGAGATGACCCTTCTTTATGAAGGCGAGATCTGGTGTCGTCTCGACTGAGATCGACGAACGTCGTTTTCCCATAGGACTACTAAGCAATTATCAGATAAGTAAAACGAAGAAAGAAAAAAGAAACAAGAAGTTTATATGAATATTTCACTTTTTATTCCGTACTCTAGTCTTACACAAAAGAAGAGGAAGGAGATTATTCCATTATTCTTTTTTTTGTCTTTTTTTTCGTTCTTATAATAGACGCAAGAAGTAACCCTATGATCAAGGGCAATATAATAACAAATGTCCACACACACACACACAGACTATATATATATATATAAAGAAGGAAAAATAAAATAAATAAATAAAAAGTGTACGATAATAGCTGATCATTAGAAACAATTACCACAACTCAACAGCTTCTGGTTTTAAGAGTTCCCCGTCCTCATCGTACACCTCTTCGTCGCCTGACAAGTCACTTCCATCATAATTACCACCACTTGCTCCCAGTGCGGCTGCGCTGGATTCAGACACCATGGGATCACCCGAAAACAGCGTTGCCTCTCTACGTAACTGTGGCGCTGCAAATATACACTTACTAAATTCTTCTGCCACTACAGAGAAACCATCCGCATCGCCTGCTGAAACCAAACGATTAAAAAATTCCTCAGGTTTGGCTTCTTGCTGTTCCTGCATTTGCTCTGCAATAAGTCTCTGCTGTGCTGGAGCACATAAATTGCACTCCACAACATCATTAAGACATCGTTGATGAAAAGAGTGTTGACACATAAAGTGAACCACTGGTAGATCTAACGCCGAGTGACAGTGACTGCACGTATGGGCTTGAAATACTACAGCTTTGGTTTGCAATGCATCAATCTCCGTCTGAAGTTCCTGAAGTTTTCTTAGACGCGTTTCCGCAAGACGCATGGAGGCCTCCGCTCGCTGCGTGTCTTTCCGCATCACACGTAATACATACTCACGTACGGTACGTAGATCTAATCGTGGATTTGTGCGAAGAATAGCTACAACGGATAGAGGTGATAATAAATCCTGTTGTTGCTCCAAAACATCAAGTACCTGCACCAAATCCTGCCACTCTGTATCAGGACTACGCACAAGCATCGAAAGAAGCGACATCCACAATTCTTTTGCTGACTCATCACTTTTACCATTGTCACTACCATCCCGTATATTATTGTTATTGTTGCTATTACTATTGCCACTCTTTATTAAGGAACGACAAGTTTCGATTAATTTTTCTTTAGCTGCCTTTCTAATTGCCGGTGTAGATCCCTCCTCCAATCCTTTCGCATAATACTGCATAATATCAGATGAGAGTCCTAAACGGCGTAGTAGCAACAACACTCCATCCTCAAACCCATGCTGCTCTGCCAATGCAAGTGCATGATAATCATCGTATTTGCCGGCATATGTCTCAAGGAAAGTCAGCGCCTGCTCTAATCGACGTTCATGTGATTCTACAGTAAATAATTCCGTATCACTTGAGACCATATGTTGACGTATAGAGTTTTTAAGGTCTTTTGTCATGTATAATTCCAGAAGAGTATTATATACTACATATTGAGAATCTCCCTCATCATCTAGTACACCACTCTCTACTACAGCACGCAGAAAATATAACAAACACACAGGAGAGTCAACAAATACATGCATAAAGTCTTTTGCTTCACTTCTGTGTGTCAGTCGACGTTGTTGTTCTTGTTGTTGTTGTTGTTGCTGCTGCTGAGTAGCACTGCGAGTGATAGATGTATGATCGGCTAAGCGACGTGCTGGTCCTTTCCACCGCACACACAACTCCACTAATACCTCTGTGCAGCGCCGTGGTTCCACGTCCGCGATGCTTTTTCCCTGTTGCCGGAGTATTGCCTCTGCATCATCAACGCAGAGTGTCTGAATAAATGATAGGGCCTTTTGTGGATTGTGAAGATTCTCCAATAAGATAAGGACATAATCGTGTGGTTGTGCATACTTTTCAGCGAGATAGAGGGCAGCGTCATAATAACCAGCTTGTCGACAGACACGAATGGCATTATGTGCATCAAAGTGAATGTCATCACGATGAATAAATGCCAACAACTTTGTCTCTTCGTGTAATTTAATATAACAATTTAATAGTAATGTGGTATGACTACGATTTGCAATGTTTCCGTGTCGTTTATGGTGTAATTCTTCAAGATAGCGTGTGAGGTGCACCGTGTGCTGCCCATTTACAAATATGCGAATCACATATGAAGGTTCTACAAAACCAATAGCCTCTATATACTGATCGATTGCCTCTGCAAACTTTCCTTTACTTACGAGGTAATCACCATACTTTTTCTGAATAATCATTTGTTGGGTTGCATCCGTTGTGTGCAGTCGCCGTGCGAGACGCTTAGCCACATCATAACACTCCTTGTGGAAAAGCTGCTCGAGTCGCGCTTGAAGTGACACTTCTGTAAGTCTCACCACACGATGTTGTTGCTGTTGTTGTTGCTGCTGCTGGTGCGACAACTCTTGAGATATAATGAGAATATCTGTAGTGTCTGCAAGTACCCATGCCACGTTACTACTGCAGCAATTCTCCTGCGATCGACTCAGACACCGCAATCGATTTTCAAGATCGTAGCACTGCAATGTGAATTTCGTCGGTCGTGTGTCGCTTTGAGTAAGAACAACAGCATAACTACGATGTGCGAGCAGCATCAGTTTGCGTCCTGGTACTTCTGCAAAGTGAACCGCACCGAAAAGTGTTGGATCAAAGAGGGGCAACGATGTGGACGCACGTGCGGTTGGTGATAATACCGCCTCACTGCCGAATACCGCCACCTGATCACTGGTGCCACTCGCCACAATCAATTGACCGTCATCTGTCAGGCAACAACAACAGTCAGAGGCCGCATCAAACGGTGGACTGCATGGATGTTCCGTGTAGACAGCCGCAGATGTCACCTGCCATACCGTCACCGCGTCCGCAAAGACGGTGTACATAACATGCACAGCAGAGGCATCAGAGGTTCGGATACCGCTATTACCACTGTTATTATTATTATTATTATTATTATTATTATTATTATTATTATTATGATTGCTGCTACTGCCGCCAACAGAAATACCAAGTACTTGTTGTATACTATGCGTCGTTCGAGTAGCGAATTTGGCTCCTGGGAAACCAACAAAAGCGATTGGACCTCGTGCCACACTACTGCGGATGCGGCGTATTTTAACGGCAGGATCACGCTCCACATCACCGCGCAGCACAACAATCTCATCACTAACAAGCGCCACTGCAGCATTCTGTAAATCCTCTGAGACATCAAAATGCACAACAACGGTGCGAAATGCGGTTGCAGGGATAGCGCTGGTAACGTCTGAGTCACGTCCTTTAAACTTTAGTGTCTGCATCACCTCTGAACTGTAGTTTGTGCGCAGTACTATACTGTTTGTGGGTGGTGGATGTTTCGCGCTAAAGAGACGGTGTTCTCTGCAGGTTGGTTGTCCTCCTCCTCCTCCTCCTCCTGCAGTGGCTGAGGTGGTGGCAGTGGAAGAAGTATCCAAATTCCATACACGCATAATGCATGTATTAAGTGCATCATCATCGCCAATAGTGACGAGTACGTTGCGTGAACGCAAGTGTTTCATGTGTGTGACAGCACCCTTATATGCGGAGAATTCCAACAACGTCGTATTACTGCTGCGATCCACAGCGTATACAAACCCCTCACTATCGCCAATAAAGACAGCCTTGTGACCATAACAGCAACACGTTATTTCCATGCGAGAGAGTGGGCCCTTCAGTACCTCTGACTCGAAAAACTTAAAACTTCGCCAGAGAGTCATGATTAATATAAACCAAATGTGTTCTGGGAGAAGGACTAATAGGAACGATACAATCCTTGAGGCAATCCACGAAAAATAAAAATAATATAAGAAACCATACACATTCATGTATAAGCAACACGAACAAAGAGAGAGAATAAAAAGGAGAGAAAACAAAAAATAAATATATAAAAAACAAAGCCATAGGAGTAAAATAACACGAAAAAAACAGAGATGAAATACGTTACTACCTATTTCAAAAGATGCAAACAACAGTGCAGATATATCTATGTTTTTTGTTAATACGAAAGAAAGAGAGAGAGGCATGCCCAGGGAAAGAAAAAAAAAAAAAGAGAAAGAAGAACTCTTTCCTTCCTGGTTTCAAACCTTCTCAAGATGAACTTACACGGTGACGAATAGCACGCATATCCGCAGTGTCATTTTCTAGCAATTCACTAAGTGCTTCCACTCCTTGTTGAATACGTTCCAAGAAATGCGTCCACGTTTTTAACAATTGTGGGTCTGTGCGTTGCTGCAGCAAACCAACACTACCACCTCCCCCAACACCACCACCACCAACTGCTGACGCTGCCAGTTTAACTGATGTTCTCAAAGCAGCAGCACCACCACCACCAGCAGCAGTAGTGGTCCTTGTAGTAGCTCTAGACCTCCCTGTCACCGTAGGGGCATCAATGGCGCTCATCTCACCACTATCATCTCCCGGACGGCTGCGCAAGATCGATGCGACGGCAGCAGATTCTGCATCTAAGAATGGTTGCAGCTCTGCTAATGCTGTCTTAAAGATACCTGGTGCGGTTAATTGAGCGTTAAGTGCGGCGGCGGTGCGGGCTTCACGTGCCTCGTCACCTGGTGGGACGCCTATTTGGCGTAGGGTTTCTGTCATCTGTAGCAGGGCGTACCAGCGTCTCTGCAGCATAACTTGTGCGAGTTGCAGCTCGCGTGCTTGTGCGGCGTTTGCCTCATCCAGTTCTCGAAACTGTTGTGCCTTTGCGGCCAGTGCGTTTGCGTGTGCTGCCATGGCGTTCAATACCTCCCGTTGCCTGCCGGCGCGGTCCCGCAGTTCCTGCAAAAAGTGCACGGCGGTTGGGTACATGCGGCGGGGGTCGGGGTTCGCCGCCTGGGCGCGGAGGAGCGCCTCCTCCCGACAGCCGCCGCCGGCGTTGGCCGCCACCGCCCGCTCGCGCGCCACCGCCAGCGTCGACTGCCCGGGCGTGCAGACGTTGTAGAGAAAGGCGCGGAAGCGGCAGTCGGGGTGGAGGGCGTTGTAGGCGGTGTCCATCTCCAGCAGGTAGCGGGCCAGCGCGCTCTGACGGCCAAAGTCGGGAACCCCCGACAGTCCATCCGACACGGCACCAGCACTAGACACCGCCGTAGAGCCAAATCCCCCCAAGGTGCCAAATCCACCTGTTGTTGCTGGTGCTGCTGTGCCAAATCCACCTGTTGTTGCTGAGGCTGCTGTGCCAAATCCACCTGTTGTTGCTG